TTATGGCAATGTATATGCATCAGCACTTAAAGCCCAGGTGTGCACAAGTTCCTGTTTTTGCCAATTTATCTCATGAGAGTTTAGTTCCGTCCTATTTCTGTTAGCACTGATGTAATTTATTAATAAACCCTTGACATTCTGTAGTCTTTTGCATAATCTTACAGCAATATGGCACAGCCATAACATAATCTTATTATTCTCACAACAGGACCTTTGCTCAATGATCTCTTAGGTTGTCAATTAAAATGTTTTAATTCTGCAGATTACTAAAAATAATATATGCAGATTGCAATGCAAAGAGTCCAGTAAAAGATACAAAAAAAAATTATAAGTTTACCAGTGGTTCGAAATGTAGTCTTAGGTTCTCACAGATAAAAAGTTCTTTGGATTTCTTAGCCAACCTTCACATTATTTGAATAACAGAGTGAAATCTGTTTCCCACTGAAACTAGACCTATTGAATTCACAGAAATAGCAACAGGAAATATCAAATCTAGTGGAAACAGTTTGTTAACTGTAAACAGTGTAAACTTTATTTAACTTTCATTGTGAAGTAAACTTCCTGAGATCTCCACAGCAATATATTGGATCAAAGGTCCCCCTGGGAGAGACAGATACAGACACACATGGACTCAGGTCAAGCAGCAAGGACACTGTTCAAACAGCAAGATCAAGGTTGCACACCCAATAAAAGCACATCTGGCAAGCTTTCCCACTGCTTGTCCAGTTAGGACCACCCCACCTGTTAGGGCTTTTGGCTTGCAGGGTTAACAGGAGCCAAGTTTGAATATCCCTGCCTCAAGTGACTGGTCTGCCCTTCCAAATCCTGCCAATGAGGAAGGCTGACTGAACTGTCTTCAACAGTGCCCTGGAGTACTGTGGACCCGTTTGGCTCAGGAACCAGACAACCGAAACTGTCACAGAGGGCAGGCTTGATTCTGATATTCCAGAATCCAAAATGTTGGATGTCAAATTACGACCTAATTACTGTCCTCCTCGGGGGAGAGGTAAGCAGAGTCTCCTTGGAAACTCTGTTTGCATCTCCCCCAAGGAGGACAGTCATTAGCTCATAATTTGACATCCAACATTTTCCATACATCAAGGTCCCACACAGAGCTATGAGATTTAGGTAACAATTTACATTGATACCACAACAACTTGCACTTATATAGTGCCCGCCACACAGGGTAGTGTCTCAGAGCGCTTAATAGTGGCGGAACCTGACTCCGAGCCAGGAAGGTGATCGTAACATGGTCAAAAAGGAAGGTTTTCAGGCTTGAGTTGAAAAGGGGAGAGAGAGGGGGCAAGGCAGAGGGATTGAGTGAGAGTGTTCCAGAATTTCGTGGCTGAATGTGCGACCTCCAATGGTGGAGCAGAGGGTGCGAGGGTCAAGCAGGAGGCCGGTACCAGTCAAGCTCAGTGGTTAGAGCACTCGCTTTGCAAGCGAGAGACCTGAGTTCAATTCCAGGCAGGGCGAAACCTTGGGCAAGTTTCCTTACTCCACACACCTAATAATAATCCCTCGAAAAAAACAAAACAATAATAAATTGGTAATTTTCAATCTACAACTGTTTGTGGGATATTGCTGTGCGCACTTGGCTGCCGCGTTCGCCCACAAATATACAGTCAATTCACTTTACAATATATTCTGTGAAGCGCTTTGGGACGTCTAGATGTGAAAAGCGCTATATCAAATGCAAGTATTATTACAAGGCAGAGGTGCCTGGTGGTGGATTGGGGAGTGAGGAGGTTGGAGAGTTAGGGAGGTGCCAGGGAATGATGGGATTTAAACACGAGTGTGAGGATCTTGAAGTCAATCCGTTCGGTGATGGAGAGCCAGTGGGGCCTGGCCAGAACTGATGAGATGGGGTACGGAGTTTGGTCTGGGTAAATATCCAGTAGAACTCTGAATGAATAGATTTTTGGAATAGTGGAGCTGGGGAGACCGATGAGGAGTGTGTTTGAGTAATACAGTGTCTTTCATGTTGGGAGGTCTTCTTATTGTAATATTATAAGGGATTAATGGGTACCCAAGTTCGGGTGGGGGGGGGGGGCTTTGGAAAGTGGTCCTGATGGTGATGGGGGGTAAAAATGGCTGAAAGCCCAAATAAGTTTTAAAAGGGGCTTTGAAAGCATGAGAGAAGGTTCAAGGTGGAGGACTCTGGAATGGAATTTCAGAGAGTGGGGTAAGAATAGTGAAAGCTTGACCACTGATGTTGGGGTGGATGAGAAGGGAACACAAAGCAGAATATTCCTCTCTTTTCTAAATATATTTTGAGATCCTTTTGTCCACAGGCAGATTGGGTCTCAATTTAAAGTCACATTTCAGCACAGAAGTCACACAATGTAACACCCTCTTCGGTGATGTACTGCCTATGAGCTGAGCTCTGAAAATGGGGCTTGAACTTATCAACTTTCATGTCTCAGAGGTGGAAGTTCTACAACTGAGACAAACTCGGTAGGGAGTTTTCTCCTATTGTTCTGCTTATCATTTCTCCCTCATTCAACTTCATTGCTCTGCTTGCCGGTTTCCTCAACTCTGCTGATGGGACTCAAAGTCCATCCAAAACTTCACTGCCTGTCCTAACAAATTCCAACTCTTCCCCCCCCCCCCTTGACAGGCTCCATTAACTTTTTCTCACAAAACGGATCGATTTCAAAACCACAAAGACATTCTTTTTAATCTATTGCAAGGAAATTTCAGTATTTTTTTCCAACCAAATTTTTCCCAGTCTATATTGGGTCCACAAGGGCTCTCTATTACTTTTACCAAGTTATAGAATCATACAATGCAAAATTACATTTGTATAGTACCTTTCATGTTGGGAGAACATCCCAAGCCACTGGACAGTCGGGAATTTGGACTGTCCAGTGCAAATTTAATAGAATACTACAAAATAATAGTTACTATTCTTAATATGTGCTTGGCAGCGAGTGTCATAAGTTTTTCAACTGTGGTAAATTCACTTGTCCACCTTATAGTTACACATGAATAAGTAAGTCGTAAAGCTTAGTGTAAAGACAGCATTCTCAATGGCAATTTACGTTTATGAAAATGTAGCTGGCTGAGCTCCAGCAGTACTCTGAACACTCTGGGGTCACCAAGCCAACCTAATACTCTCTGGAATTAGGTGGGTGGAGTGCATGCCTTCGGGGAGAGAGTGCACATTCCTTTCAAAATGTAGCCGCATACATATATGTGGAACTCTCAGTCTGGTTTGAATACTCTCAAGTGGGTGATGATAATAATAATAATTGTTCATATGTTCATTGCACTATCAGTCAAAGCACCTTGGGAACCAGTTGATTATTAATAATAATAAACCTTGCATTTGATTTAGCGCCTCATCATTTCTTCGAGCCGTCTCAAAGGCTTCGCAGAATATAGTGTAAAGTGAATTGACTGTATATTTTGCGGACGAAACGCGGCGGCCAATTGTGCGCAGCGACGTCCCACAAACAGTTGTGGACTTGAGTGACCAAATTATTATTATTTCGAAGGAATTACCACCACCGGAAAAACAATCCGCCAATCCACTAATGAACCGGGTGTCAACTTACTGCTGGGTAAACAGAGGCCTGTGGAGTAGGGAAACTTGCCCAACCTTTCTCTCTGCCAGGAACCGATCCCAGGCCTTTCGCTTGTGAGGCGAGTGCTCCAACCACTGAGCTGCACAACTCCACTTGATAGGGTCCAGGTGTGCAACACCTGGCTTGAGCCAAACAATTCTCATCAATGTTACCTTGTTAAAGTGCTTGCCGTTTGAGTCTCTTTGAAAGCTGCTAATAATGACCTTTTAAAACTACAAACGCAACTTGTGGCTGCAAACCCAGACTCTCCTTTACCAAGATGGCCGCCTGGTGGCACCTCAGCCGCGAGAAAGACCAACCCCCCTCCCCACCCCGAGCTGCCACTGACGTCAGCACCGGCGACGGTTGGCGGGGCGCGACGTCAGACGTAAGGGTTCAGCCTGTGAATTGCATCGGTCCGACGTGCTGACATCAGACGCAAAGGGACGTCTCTCCGTAAAAGGCGGTGGCGCCCTCACCTGGCGACGTCAGCGGCAGGCTGTACCAGCGGGGACGCTCCGCGACGTGGTTGCGTCACACGCCGGTTCGCGGTCAAACTCGGGCTTCGCTTCAGTCGCTTCGCAGAGTCGCGCCGCCGCCCCCCCCCCCACCCTCCTCCCCGGAGCCGCCATGGAGCCCGACTCGGTAATTGAGGACAAGACCATAGAGCTGATGGTGAGTGAGCGCTCGGGGGAGCTCGGGCTGCCCGCCCTAAGGCACCCAGGGTCGGCCTAGCCTGGCAGGAGGAGCGCCAGGCCCGCGCCCGGCCTCCCCGGGACCGGCTCCGCGGCCGCCGGGCAGGCGGCGAATGAAGGCAGAGAGTGGGCCCCGGTGCGTCCTCTCGAGGAGACGTGTGGCCCGTGGCCAGGACTGCAGATGGGGACCAGCCAGTGGTTTTGGTGCAGAGCTGCGCTCGGGGTTTCACAGGGACGAACATGGAGGGGGTGGTTGGCGCATAAGGCAGTCAGTCCCACGCCATTTCAGTCCCTGGCCATCCTCTGGCAGCTTAGTCTGGGGCCTGGTCCCCGGCTACGCTGTCAGAGGTCACTTGCATCACTGCCTGCCCCTAATGGTGGGGTATTGTCGCCCTCCCTGGGACCTCTGGCCAAACCTGTCCCTTGTTACCAGTAATACACCACAGATGTTCAGTGGAGGCGTCTGGATATCTGGCCAGAGACCTGCTGTTTAATATCGTTTGTGTATCATTTGTTTTCAAAATGTGTGACTACCCCTGGAAGGGGGGGGGGTGTGGGGTGGGTGGGCAGAAAGAAAGGTAACAGAGAGAGCTGGGAAATCTCAGCAGGTCAAGGCAGCATCTACGGGGAAAGGAGAGTGAGTCAACGGGAGTTGGAACACTGGCAAAAGGGGTCGTGGACCCGAAACGTTGGCTCACTTTCCTTTCTCCATAGACCATGTCTGATCTGCTGAGTTTTCCCAGCTCTCACTGCTTTCGTTTCAGGTTTCCGGCATCTGCGGTATTGTGTTTTGAGAAAGAAAGGTAAGTTGGATCTCGTTGGAGCTGAGCTGATCCATTCACTTGGTAGAAGGATGTTGCAATTCGGATACGTGATTCACTGTGCTGGACTTGGGAGTCAAGGTTCCTGAGCCAGATAGATCTGCAGTCCTCTAAGGCACTCTGATAACTGACCATCCAGCTGGCGGGGTTTGGATGGGCAGATTGGTCACTGGGATTAACCTTGCAAATCAAAGCCTCAATAATGGGTGTATCTAGTTGGGTAGAAACGTGTGAGACAATGCACACAATGGCAATATATGTTGTGCCAGCTGATTTAACAGTTGCCCCAGCGAACATTTTGGGGCTGCTAAGCCTAAGCTCTTGCCAACCCAATACTTCCGGGAATTCAATAAAATTGGTGCCAAGAAGAGAATGCACATTTCGTTCCCAATACAGGGTAATTTCCAAGTGTAGTTTGCATTCATATGTGGATATACATCTGGTCTGGGTATGTCAGACATCACCTGGCTAATTTACGAAAAGTGAGTCCCCTCAAAGCACTTCACACATTGAGCTGTTTTATTAAAGTGACTGTTAGGCAGACAGCTAAGCTATGCAAGAAATGTCCTAGTAAGAATTAACCAGTATTTTGTTAATTTTAAGAGGAATGTTGGACTGGATACTTACAAATGGGTAAAAAGTCCTATTTACCTCATGTGCGTTGGTCAGTTATAGAGGCACTGCTTTAGCTGAAATTCCTTCTATAACAATCAAAAATACCAGCAATGAACAAAATCAACAATGCTTCACCCACTATTCATTCTACAATTGATTTTTTTCTCATGGGTATTGCCTTTTGAAATCTAGCTCTTGTATGTAACATTGTGTGGTGTGTTAATATACAAACGCAAAGGGAAAGCATTTCATAGTGTATAGGCTATGGTACAATTGTGAATTTCTTATTGTTTCTCAGTATATTTTCTGCAAGCAATCCGATGTTTTGATCAACTGCTACTTATTACTGGAAGAGATAAACGCATCATCAAACACAAGATGAATGTAACAAACACTGAGGCAGATGAGAATGGGAGATTATCATGTGTGAAACAACAGGCAGAAGCTGTTCTACCACCCTGTAGTGTGTGTTTAACCAGAATTATGGTATTTTTAGCTGTCAAATAGGGTAATACACTTGAGGTAATTGCTACTTTATTTATCCAACAATCCAACTATTGACACAGCAGAGTAATTTTGTAGTTAAATGTATTTTTTCTTACTTTTTCTAATTTCTTTTTTCAAACCTGAGAGTGTAGAGTGTGCAGTGAAAGCTACAAGAGTAGGTGGAAAGCTCAGGCTTCTGTATACTGAAGGTCTAGTTTAGAATGTCACCCCATTGAAAAATATTAAAGTTGAATATTGAGGAATCTTATTCTGTTTAACATTTGAGTAACTGAACTGTGTGAACTGGGCTTTAGACTTTTGTATGTTTTTGGTTTGGGCTGAAGTGATTACATTGCATAATATTGCCTCATCTTGCAGACACATTACCATGTCAGCAGTTTGATTTGACTGATAAGGGCAAATGTTTCATGTAAAAAGCAGTAATGTGAAGGAAGATGCAGAGTTGCTTAGGATAATGGAAAGTAAAATGGATATTTGGGCAGTATGATGGAGAAAATGCAGGAAAATGGGATTTAAAAATAATAATTCTTGCATTTGATATAGCATCTTGTCATATTGTCGATGCAGCTTAAAGTGTTTCACTACCCCTCTGACCTCCTCTCTCCTTAAAACAGTACCCATTGCCTTCGTTCCTCCGGGTCTGGCCTCTCCTCGTCCCCTGAGTCCTCTGCTCCACCCTCGGCGGCCGTGCCTTCAGCCACTATGCCCCGAGGCTCTGGAACTCCCTTCCTCACTCCCTTTGCTTAGCTCCCTCCCTTCCTATATTCAGGTCTCTGCTGAAGACCTTTTCAACTGCGCCTTTGGTCACCTTCCTCCCTCTCTCCTTGGCTAGGTCCCGGAATCCGTTAATGTGAAGCGCTCTGAGACGCAATCCGGCATAGAGGGCGGTATATAAACCCAAGTTGTTATTGTAAAGTGCAGGAACTGTTATTTTGTTGGTGAATCTGGCAACCAGTTTGCATACAACAATGTCCCATTACAGCCATATGGCCAGAATATAGGAACTGAAGTAGGCCATTCAGCCTATCAAATCTGTACCATCATTTCCTAGCTTATTTTTGGAAATAAAATCCTGTAGCTTAGTGGTTAGAGCACTTGCCTCGCAAGCGAGAGACCTGGGTACGATTCCCGGCAGGGCAAAATGTTGGGCAAGTTTCCTTACTCCATGCGCCTCTGTTTACCTAGCAGTGAGTAGGAACCCGGTTATTAGTCGATTTGCAGCTTTTCTGGGGAATAATTCCTTCAAAGAAAAATAATAAATTGGTCACTTCAATCCATGACTGTTTGTGGGACTCTGCTGTGTGCAATTGGCTGCTGCGATTTGGCCACAAAATATATTATGGCTGATCTGAAACTCAATTCCACCTTCCTGTCCTCTCTCCATATTCTTTGATATACCCCTGTCTATCAAATATTTATCTATTTGCCTTTAAATTCTTCAGTTGGCTGTCACCACCTCCTTCTGGGGGAGTGAATTCCATAATCCCATCAACCGCTCGGGGGTGGGGGGGGAATCCTGTTTCACTTTTAAACAGTTTAGCCTCAAATTTAAGAGTATGGACTTCAGTCCTCAACTTTCTCGCCAGAGGAAACAATGGCTACCAATTGAGCCAGGCTGACACTTAAAAGATTTGTTATGGTTTCAATAAGATAGTGGAACATACTTGACAGACTGAGTGGCATCCCTGTTGCTAAGGTTTTTGCATTTTGTTGTCTATTAAATTGAAATCCTACAAAAAACTTCAAGTAATTTTTGTTGAGTGGAGTAGCTGGTTTTCCGCTGAATGTGACAGAAATTTATGCCAGCAAGGTCCCACACAGGGATTCGCCATTTAGTCTGTTTGTTATCTAGGGGACCAGGAGCACATCTCATCCGAAATACAGCGTCTCAAACAATGTAATGCTCAGTACTGTCTGCAGCGACTCAGACATTTCCTGTCAAATTGTCCCTCAGGAACGGTTATTTCAGTTAAATGCAACTTCTCATGCATTTAAAAACTGTAAAAGCCCTCAGTTCTGCTGCATGTCCCTCTTTCCACCATTGATTGCCAAGCTTTCAGTCACTAGACCCTTGCTCTCTGGAACCCTTTCCTAAAATCAATTTGCAAAACTAAGTTTTCCTTGTTTTCTTTCCTTCCTTTTGTTCCAAGCTTTTCTAAAAAATCTATCGCTTTGACCTGGTCTTCAGCCGGCTCCCTCCTTACCCAAATAGTGGGTGTGATGGAGGTCTGAGACATGTAGATCCATAAGATCATAGGTATATTAATAGTAATCATTGGATTTGATACATTGCCGTATCAGGTTTTCGAGACGTTTCAAAGTGCTTCACAGAATATATTGTAAAGTGTAATGACTGTATTTTGTGGGTGAAACACAGCAGCCAATTGCGCACAGCAGTGTCCCACAAACAATCGTGGATTGAGTAATCATATTATTATTATGGAGGGATTATTACCCCCGAAAAACGATCCGCCAATTGACTAACAAACGGGTTCCTACTTACTGCTGGGTACACAGAGGCATGTGTGAGTTGTGTGGAGTAAGGAAACTTATCTAAGCTTGCGCCCTAACCCACCTGGGAATCAAACCCAGGTCCTCTCACAGGGGAGTGCTCTACCCGAGCTACAGGGGAGAGGTTCTCACTGGTGCTACACCTTTACAGGATGGAATGGAGAACAAAGAACCCAATAAATAAAGCACATATGCAACAAATATACTAAAGAAAACTAGTAAAAGGAAAACCAGAAAGAATGCATTTTTATAGAAATTCACAGATAATTGTCAAGTATAGTGACTGTTTTTAAGCAAACCTGGCAATCGTTTGAGCAAGCCTGGGCCCACAAACAGCCATGTGGTAAGTGATCAATTTATCTGGAGAATTGATGGCTCGGTCTCCGGAAGAATTTCCAGAACAAAAAGCAAAAGGAATGGCAGAAAGGCAAAGACTGTTACTGTAGTAAGCGTACTAATGGGGATTCATATTGGGGTGAAGTGCCATATTTACCACACGTCCTCTAGTAACTCACCCAAGTGGTCATTCTTCATGCGGGAGCCTTACCAATGAATGGCTGCATGCTATTGGCGGGCGGGCCTTCCAGCACTCTGTCCCCACCCTCTGGAACTCCATCCCTCAGTCCCTCTGCCTCGCCCCCTCCCTTGCCACCTTCAAGACCTATCTCAACACCCTCCTAATCGACCATGACTTCGATCTCCCTGCTTCCCTCCCCGACCTCCCAGCTTGGGTCCGTAACTCTGTCGACAGCGCCTTGGGACGTCCTACAAATGTAATTTTGTTATTGATTAATTGTGAGAGGAATCAACTTGAGTCCGATTCTTCACGCGTTCATCATTTGCATTTTTATAGTTTGGGCCACTGGCTTGTGATTAGGAAAGGAAACCCTAGCTCGTGTCTGTTTCCGTCAAGTTTCTTTAAGTGTCTGAGATGTGCTTTGGCATCTTGTATGTGATGTTATGACATGGCTTGCTACTGATTCTGCCAGGAGCAATAGCTGGCAGCAAAAGTGAAGGGCAACTGGTGGTAAATACAGTAAAGCTACACATAGGGTGGCCTCAAATGGTCTGGGTCTTATTCTAGTGAGTCTGAGGCAACAACCACCCAGGCCTCTCTACCTAAGCCCAGCGTTTTCTAGAAGAATCCAGTTTACTACCAACTTTTGACTAGGAAGGTAATTTCTTTAATTAGAAGCAACTCTCATTAGTGACTGAGAGCACTCGTTTTTTTCACTGTTTGACCAACCTGATTTTAAAATAAAGTGGCAATTTTGGGTGACCACCAAATACAATTCTGGAAATGATCAATACAATGATCATTTAACTCAGAACTCTGATTTTTGTATTGC